GAAGCTTGTTCTTTGTGCGTGCCCGCTGGGGGGAGCGATGTGGCCTGCGGCGGCGGTGAGTCCATCTGTTCTGACCTTTCATATGTCCGCAGGTCCGCCATGTTTCTCGCTTGCCACGGTTCTTGCTCTCCCTGCTCCATCTCTTGTGCCTGGGTCACCTCTGCTGCTTGCCATTCCTTGTACCCTTTATCTTGCGCGTGTTGTAAAGCTCTGCAGATGCCTTTGATCGTTTCTCGCATGCGCACTTTTCCTGGATCCTCCACCCAAAGCGCATCCAGCAGCCGGTGCCTCATCCTCTCGAGCCATTGCTGGGGTGGGGGGACGCCTTGCTGCCTACCTGTTTTTGAGATGTCTCGTTGTGTCGGTCTGTTTGTTTTTGCGATCAGCAGCAAATGCAACAGTATGAAGATCCCACAGTTGTGATTGTCTGTTTGTTGTAGCTCAGTTGACAGGTAAACCCGCCATGTCGTTGCATGTTCCTGCTGGTCGCTGAATGCCTCCGTGACAATCGTCGCCGCGAGTGTGGCTAAGTCCATTCGTTGTGCGCCTTCCAGCTGAAACTGTGCCTCCCTTTGACTTCTGACAATCCCCAAGTCTCTCTCAGCCGTGCTGAGTGAATCAACAATGCGTATTCTTTTTGTGTCAAAATCTGCCATTAGTAGAATCCAATGATTGCCATTCTCTACGCACGGGAATAAGAATGGCTGAGCTGCCCCGGCTAGTAGTCGCTTTGCTCTCTTTGTCCTCCCCTCTTGATCTCTCAAACAAGCTACTATTCTCGGGAGGACAATAGTCCCTCTCGGCGACTCGACCTGGTTTCTAGTTTGCGCGTTCGCGTACCTCTTGTCTCGTAGCCATGCTATTTGAAATCTGTCTTCCACTGGTTGGATACCTTCGCTTGCCTCGAGGATTATCGCCTCCACAACATCTTCGGAGAGAAAGCCAGCTTCTCCCGAGTTGAGTAGCGCCGCTAATCCATATTCACTGTTTTGTTCCCTTCGACTCCAGGGGATCTCCCCTACGAGGTCGAATGTTTGTGTCGTTTTTTGATTTTCTTTGTCTTTGTTTTTCTCACCTTCTTGTCCTTCCCCCTCACCCTTGTGCCAATTGTCCCACCTGCCCTCGTCTCCTCCTGTTCCTGCGTCCATTAAGCTTGTGCCGCAGGGGGGGAGTCTAGTGACATCCCCTCTGCGTCGTCCGCCTTGCTCCCTTCCTCCGGTTCCTCTTCCATTCCGGCCTCTTTCATCTGTAGTTCAGTGCTCAACATGAACTTTAGTTCGTCGTTATCTCCCAGCATTCCTACCGAAGAGATTACTGTCTCCTCTAGGAATTTATTCAATGCAATGAAGAGCAGGTCAGTCTTAAACTGCTTCTCTTCTTTGGGGGCAAAAGCGCTTTGCTTGCGCTTCGCGACCTTCCATGTATGCTTCTCAACGATTCGTTGGACTCGCTCTTTGAAGCCCTTACTCTGGGTATCCCATGTCGCTCCAGTGCCTTTATCAGCCCATTCTTGCAGCGTGGAGAAGGACGCGTTGCCTGGACTGTCTAAGGCGACCTGCATGTCGTGCACAGCATCGTCAAGACGAAGTAAGGTCTTTCCTTGCTGTTGTAGGTCATTGTTAACTACTTCCGCGATAGCTGTCTTGATCTCAGCAATTACTACCTCTGCTTCCGCGTCGGGCAGGTTTGTTTCGTTGATGATTGAGTTCAGTTCAATCTCTTTCCACACGGTTCCGCCTGCTCTGGTTCCCGGCGTTTGTGATCTGGCTTGGCCAGATTGATCCTGTGTTGCCTGAGGCGACACTTTGAGGTTCAGACTACTTGCTGTCGTCTGGATCTCAACTGTGCCTTGCCAGCAGAGAAGGTGTGTGGGGAATTCAGCCATCATCTTTCTTGCACTCCTTTCACTTCGTAGCCTGAGAATAATTCCAGACCCATCCCACATCCCCGTCTCTGCGTCACATTGGATGTGTACCCGTTGCAGCTCTTTTTCAACCTGTGGGTCCCAGCATGCGACAGACCTCCGGATGTTTCGGATGACTTTGGCTCTGCCCGTTTCGTCACTGGCGCAGATTTTTTCAATCTCACTTCGAGAGAACTTCCCTGATGGCACTGGGGAGGAGATTTGCACTGAGTACAGCATCTCTGCCCCCGTTGCCGTTGCCGCCTCCTGTCGCACAGCATTCTTCGTATGCTTGAGCATAGTCGTTGCTTCCATTTGAACTGAAAACCATTTCAGTATTTTGTCATTCTCTGAGACCAATCCCAAAGTGACTCCTGCTCGATCTTTTCCATGTCGATCGAATGCCTGGAGGACGATGTCCGCTACTTCCAGGCTCGAACAAGTCGCGATCCAGTCTACCTCTCTGTTCTGGTTGACTGTGTCTATTCCTACCGCTGCAAACACCTTCTTTGGCGGCAGGTTCCTCTTGGGGGGGAGGTTCACTGTCATTCCCGCGTTTGGGATCAGGTCGATAATTGCTAGGCCCTGTTTCAAGCACAACTGCCTGTAGATCTCACATATATCACCTGTACTCGAATCATTGAGCTTAAGGAGTTGGGCCACCTCCGCTAGGATTCCGACTCTGCCCATGTTCTCCTTCTTTGGTCGCATCTTGAACGAGATCGGTGGGTTGGCTGCTGGGTTCACTGCTAGGATCCTCCTTCCAGCCACCTTAAAGGTACCTTCTCCTTTCCAGAATTTCTCTGCCGCCTCGTTGCGGACAAAGGTGATCACTGCTGGGATCTCTTCTGCCTTCGCCAGGTCAGGCTTGAGGGGAGCCTTGAAGATCAAACTCCTGCTGTCTTGCGTCTGATCTACGATCAAGCCTTGCTCTTCCAGCTTGACGCATAAGTTTTCAACCTGTCTGGAGAAGTATGCAGGTATCCCTAGTACCTTCATGGTAATCGTCTGCACACTCGTGCCCTGGTCATCATAAGACCTGGCCTCCATCTGCCGTTGCCTGTCTGCTAGAAATTCGGACAGGTACCACTGCCTGGCATCATCACCCCACTGCCCGCGACCTTTCAGACTCTCCAGTGGTGAAGGTTCAGCAAAGCTGCATGTGTGACTGATGGCTTCGGCTAAAGCTTCCAAGGATATCTCTTTGGCTTTCAGAGCTTTGCTCGTCCTGCTTTTGGGATTCTGCCTTGCGAAGTCATCCAGTCGTCGCACAAGCTCAGCTGGTGACGGCATCGTTCCAGTTTCCGTCTGCCTCTTGAGGTAGCTGGAGGTACGGTACTGCACGATCTCGTCAGGGTTCACAATAGATATTGGCCACATGCTTCGGAGCATTCTCAATGGTTTCCCAAGCTTCCGTCGTTCCTGGCGGCTCTTACTCCACCAGCGCAGGGGTACCGCAAATCTGCATGCCAGGAAATAAGGAACCTGCCAGGAAATAAGGAACCTGCCAGGAAATAAGGAACCTGCCAGGAAATAAGGAACCTGCCAGGAAATAAGGAACCTGCCAGGAAATAAGGAACCTGCCAGGAAATAAGGAACCTGCCAGGAAATAAGGAACCTGCCAGGAAATAAGGAACCTGCCAGGAAATAAGGAACCTGCCAGGAAATAAGGAACCTGCCAGGAAATAAGGAACCTGCCAGGAAATAAGGAACCTGCCAGGAAATAAGGAACCTGCCAGGAAATAAGGAACCTGCCAGGAAATAAGGAACCTGCCAGGAAATAAGGAACCTGCCAGGAAATAAGGAACCTGCCAGGAAATAAGGAACCTGCCAGGAAATAAGGAACCTGCCAGGAAATAAGGAACCTCCTAAACCCTAATCTTTCGGGGACACAGGGCCCCTTGCGGGGCCTTTTGCCACCCAAAGGGCCCTGTTTTCAAGACCCTCATACAGCACCAATCGGGCACGTGTTCCCTTCGCAATGGCAGCATCTGGAAGCGGGGATCCAGCACTTTCCAATGCTGAAAACCGCATCGCAAGAGACCAATCCATCATGGAGATAGGGCAATCGATATATGTACGAAGTAAGGTGTTTGGTCGTTACAAGCATGCAAAACAAGCGCTGCTGTCTGTTTACAATTCTGGTTGGAGCACCGTCGCGGTGCGCGGAACCGTTCTATCTAGAAGTGGAAATGATAAATGGATAGTTGAATGGGACTTTCCAGGTAGAAAGTTGAAGGTTACAATGAAGGAAACTGTTTTGCTTGGAGGTCGAATCCTACAAAATGATCAAAATATGCCGATTTCACCCGTTGGGGATGTGGCAAGTGTCGAAGATGACATGAGTCCCGACGACGAACGGGAAGGCGATGAATGGGATTCCGATGCCTCCTTCACACAGTTGGAAGAACAGTATTTCATGCTTCCTGGAGGGAGAAATGCCCTGGAATGTGCAATGGACGGAAAAACGCTAAATTGGGTTGTTTGCTCGCTTGGAGTCAACATGGATCAACGTACCGCATGTGGCTATCCTTTTCGGCAAACTACTATTCGATGGCCAGCTCATATCCAAGTCTTGGCGCGAAAGCCAGAGATTGACTGCTGGCAATTCCTGTTTCCATGGTCATTTTTCTTTGGAACAAACAGATCTGTAGGCAGTTGTTTGCTCTGGACGAACGATAATTTGCCCCCTGACGTAACACCGTTTACCGTACATGAATGGGTTCAGTTCATAGGCCTTCTGTACGGTCGGACATTAGTTCCAAAAGGCCGGATGAGGTACATGTGGGGTCACGACCGTCCCGGCTTTGTCCCATCCATGGATGTTGGGCGAAGATTTGGGATCAGCCGTAGACGGTATGAAACATGGAGGAAATATCTCAAATTCTGGCCACCGTCAGCAGATCATGCACAGAATAGATTTGACATGATTAGACCTCTGGTTGAAGCTTTTAATCAAAATAGAATAGAGACAATCAACGCAGGTAGTGAGTTGGTCATCGATGAAAGTATGGGGAAATGGCGCCCTTACATACAAGTAAGAAGGAGATATTACATAGATTGTGCACTGAATGTTGTTGTTTGCTAGAACACCAACGAAAGTATCCCTCAATTGACAAAAATTGCTCGAAAACCCGTCGGAGTAGGTACAGAATACAAGAACATCGCTGAGTGCACTTTTGGAATCATGTTATCGTTGGAGGTTCAGGAAGGCAAGAATTTGATGCAAAATCTCCCTTTCACGGAGAGATATGCCAAGCACACTGCTTTGGTGCTTAGGCTAGCGCAGAATTATCTCAACAAAGGGCATATTGTATACGGAGACTCTGCTTTTTCATCAGTTTCCACCGCAACTGCTCTGCTGGAACACAACACGTTTTACACTGGTTTGGTAAAACAGTGCTTCAAGGGATTCCCAAAACAGTACCTTAACACGTTGGCTTGGCAGGGAAACGAAGCCAGAGGGTCCACGAAGACTGTCAGGCTGATAGTGGACATCAATGGACAAGAAAAGAAGGTGTACGGGCATGCATGGAATGAGCCTGGCAGGGTCGGTATACCGCGAAAGTTGTTGATTTCCACGTGGAATACAACGCAGGAAACTGATGGACACGTTAAAGATCGTTGGAGAATTAATCCACAAACCAGACAGACCGAGCATTATAACTTTACAGTGCCAAGAACGAAGATGGTGAAGTCATATTTCAATGCTGCTTCAATCATCGATGTTCACAATCACCTCAGGCAGGATGGTTTGGGGATGGAAAACGCTATTGGAACAATAGATTGGCGATTCAGAATCTTTTGTACTGTATTGGGCTTCATCGAAGTGGATGCATACAAGCTTTTCACGCAGTGTAACCAGTTGCAAGATGACGTGGAACACAGGGAGTTCATTGACGTCCTTACTTTGCAAATGTTACAAAATCATTACGAAGGCGATGTGGCAAGGAGGAACATGCGTCGAAGTCTTCGCAATCGACAGTCTAATTCATCTGACTCATCCTCACAGGGGTTGAGGCCGTCACAGGAAGGGCATGACCTCATACTGGTCAGCGATTTTCAGCAGAGAAAGCACCTTCCCACGAGCCGAGGTGATGTGAATAGAAAATTACCACGAGTCAGATGCAAAATCTGCAGAGATTCACATGGTCAGGGACGTAAAACTATCTATTGTTGTGACCAATGCAGTGAAAATGATCCCCACAAGCGTCCATTTGGTATTTGTGGTATGGCAGCAGGTCGAAGGTGTATCAACCAGCATATCCTACAACATAATGAACAACGGTAAAAGTTTCATTTTCATCAGTAAAAGTGGTTGATTTCTGTTTCATACACAAACATCTGGTAGCATATAACATGAAAAAGGCCTGATCTACTGGTTTGTTCTTGTTTGGGTATAGGGTTCATACTTCTGGCGTGAGAGTGAAAACACATTTTCCTATTGTAGCACTGATAAATACAAGCCGCATTGCAAAAATTTCTCATGAGATATTCAATCAAGACACTTTCATGTGGAATTGTGCTGCATACTTGAGCTTGATCTGAAATTTTCGTCCTTTCACGCAGCTCTCCGTCGACACCTTCTCGCCATCATTCGCCGACATCACGGACCCCACCATACCTTCATATACCCCCACCCCCCCCTACAAACTATTATTGTATTTCGAAAGTACCGGTCTTTTCTAAGATACTTGGACCCCCATCCCAACAATTTGCCTAACCCTAAGAAAACTTGCCGAAAATGCCAGGAAATAAGGAACCTGCCAGGAAATAAGGAACCTCCTAAACCCTAAACCCTAAACCCTAAACCCTAAACCCTAAACCCTAAACCCTAAACCCTAAACCCTATTATTATTATGTGAGTTTATTAGAATGCTAGAATGTTGCTCGGCCTCGTTGTGGGCTTGTGCAATTGGATCCTAGTCTAAAGAGGCGCTCGAGCACTGGGAGTACACGGCCTACAATGCGAACCCTGCTTCTGAGGCGTCTTTCTACTCTCTACTTCTGCTGTCTTCTCTTGGCTTCCTCAGCCTCAGTCAGGAGAGTTGCCTCTCCTCACCTTGGCCTTCGGTCACCACCTACTCTACCTCCATTCAGCTTCCTCAGCCTCAGTCAGAAGAGTTGCCTCTCCTCACCTTGGCCTTCGGTCGCCACCTACTCGTCCTCCATTCAGCTTCCTCAGCTTCAGTCAGGAGAGTTGCCTCTCCTCACCTTGGCCTTCGGTCGCCTCCTACCTTCTCTCCTTACCTTGGGCTCAGCTCAAGCTCGGTACGGGCTCGCCCCGTCTTCTTCCTCGCCCTCGCCTTGCTCTTCCTCCATGTCTTCCTCTTCTTCGTCATCTTCCCTCATCTCCACTCGCAGTCGGTCCTTCTTGTCCACCTTCAGCGAGCAGGCCAGCACATGCATCTCTGCGAATTTACTCAGTGCTATGAACAGGAGGCTAAGAGATCGACGCTCTATGTCGTCGCTCTCCGCCTCCTGCTCAAGCTCAGCAGCTGCCGTTGCCCGTGGCGAGAACGCGCTGCCCCTCCTTGCCTTCTTGCTCTCTCCTTGCACGCGAGTCCAGCGCTTGCTCTGCAGCCACTTCCCCAGCTTCTCCTTGAGCGCGTTGCGTCCCACTCCCTGCTCCTCTGGCATCTTCGCCCACTCTCCCAGCGCCATGAACTCCAGGCTCCCCGGAGAGTAGAAGGTGTCGTGGAGGTTGCCAACGGCCTTGTCCAGGACCAGCTTGATCGGCTCGCTCGTCCCTGCCTCGTTCAAAGAAGCTGCATCTTCGATGACTGCTGACAGCTCGCTGACGAGCTGCATGTCCTCTTGGCTTGACGGAGATGCTGCCTCCATTGTGATCCTCTCCATGTCTGTAAACTCCAGCCACTCTCCCTCGCTCTCCTCCTGTCGCTGCGCTGCGTCGCTGGTGCCCCGCTGACCAGCCGCCTCAGAGTCAGGCTCCTTGTCGAAGCCGACTGCTTCGAGCTTGGTTGCTGCGCCTTCGAGATAGAAGGGCAGCTCCTTCATCATGCGTCGAGCATCCTCCGTGGAGCCGAGGAGGATGCATAGCTTGGACCCGTTCCAGGACTTGGTGTTCAAATCCTCCTCCATGTCGATGCCTTCAACGTTGATCTCGAGCCTGTTAGCGATCTCCAACAAGACTCTCTTGACTCTTGCGATAGACGTGTTGCCGCCGTTGCACAGCCCCTCCATCTCCTTCCTCGTGAAGCGACCAGATGCCGCCGTCGACTTGATGATGATCTTGATCTCCTTGCCGTCCTTGCCGCCTGCCTTCTTCTGCAGTCTTGATGCCTTCTTCAACTTATTTCTGGACACAAAGCGATCAGCTGTCAACTCGACTGCGAGCGCCTCTCTGATCTTCGGGTCCTCGCTGAACAGAGTCAGGTGTACTCCCTCCATCGCTTCGCTCTCTCGGAAAGCTCGAAATGCTGTATCATTCGCCTCTGGGCAGCTCGAGGAGACGATCCACTCCACCTCCCTCTGTCTCCAGATGACGTTGGCCCCTACAGCGATGAAGCCTTTCTGACCTAAGCCTTTGTGGACTTGCTGTCCTGGCGCCCCAGCGACCAGCATGCCTGCCAGCGGCTGGAGTTGGACCGCTGCAAGGGACTGGCGCAGCAGCTGATAGCGATAGACGGCAGCTATCTCAGCCGTTGTCATGCCGCCCAAGGTTAGCAGGTGAGTCAGCTCTGCCAAGCTGCCCCCTTTGCCCCAGGGTCCTCTCTTGGCTCGAATCTTGAAAGATCTATCGTGCACGATGCTCACATGTACAGCTGTGAACTTGCGACCATCGATCGCGAAGTCCTCTCTTCCCTGCCAGAGCTTCTCCGCTTGTGCATTGCGGAGGAAGGAAACAGTCACCGGGATCTCCTCAGCACTCGCTATCTCGGGTCTATACGGAGCCTTCCACATGATTGCTTTACTCTCTTGCACTGAGTCTACGATCAGTCCGATCTCTTCAAATTTCTTCTTCAGCTTTTCTTCATGGTTGACATACACCGAGGAGATGCCCAGGAGAGTCATGGAGATGAAGGAAGTCACCTCGTTGCCTGCTGAGGCGGTGTATGTCTCGACCTTCTCCTTCTTGGCTTCTTCAATCTGCTGCATAAACCACTCTCTGGATGCGTCACTCCATCCAGTCATCGCTTCTTGCAGAAGCTCACGTCGTGCCTGCTGACATGTCGAGCGGATGGCTGGAGTGGAGCGTCGGGGGTGCATCCCTCCACAGCCTTGCAAGCCTGGGCTGTCCTGCTGTTCGGATAACGCTTCGCGAAGCTCTTCACCCTCTCGACGAGATCAGCTTCGAGGACAGAGGCATCCACAAGTCCGCTCTGCGTGTATTGGCATGATCTCCGATACCGTCTTCTCGCCTTTCCATCCGGTTAGGTATACGTTCCATGGTGAGCTCTGCCGCTTGCCATTCCTTGTAACCTGTATCTTGCGCGTGCTGTAGAGCTCTGCAGATGCAGTGGGTTGTTTCTCGCATGTGCACATGTTCCATACCCCCCCCCCAGAGCCCATCCAGCAGCAGATGTCTGGTTCTCATGAGCCATTGCTGATGTGGAGGGACGCCTTGTTGCCTCCCTGTGTTGAAGATATCTTGTTGTTGCGTTTGCCTTCGTGTCTTTGCGATCAGCAGCAGATGCAGCACAACGAAAATTCCACAATTGTAGCCGTCTGTTTGTTGCAGCCCAGTTGACACACATGCCCTCCATGCCGTGTCGTCACAGTGTTCTTGTTGATCGCTAATTGCCTCGGTGATAATCGTCGCCACGAGTGATGCTAGGTCCATTCGCTGTGCGCCCCCCAATTGAAACTGTGCCTCCCTTTGGCTTCTGACTGTCCCCAGGTCTCTCTCAAGGGCCGTGCTAAGCGAGTCGACGATGTGTATTCTTTTTGTGTTAACATCTGCCACGATTAGGATCCAATGATTGCCGTTCTCTACACATGGGAATAAGAATGGTTGAGCTGCCCCGGCTAGCAGTCGTTTTGCTCTCCGTGCCCTTCCCTCCTGATCTCTCAAACACGCTACTATTCTCGGGAGAACAATGGTCCCTCTCTGCAGCCCAAATTGGTTTCTAGTTTGCTCGCTGGCATACCTCGTGCCTTGGAGCCATGCTATTTGAAATCTGTCTTCCGCTGGTTCTAAATTTCGGTTTACCTCAACGATTAATGCCTCCATAACGTCCTCAGAGAGAAATCCATCTTCTCCTGAGTTGAGCAGCGCCGCTGCTCCGTACTCTCTATTGTTTTCCCGTAGACTCCAGGGGATCTCCCCTATCAAGTCGAATGTTTGTATTTTTCTGTTTTTTGGATTTTCTTTGTCATTGTTTTTCTCACCTTCTTGTCTCTTTCTGCTTGATTCCACCACGCCCTGGTGCCCACTGTCCCACCTGCCCTCAACTCCTCCTCCTCCTC